CCGCTGGCCTGTAAATGAGTGAAAACTGCAGAGTTCTGGCCATTAGATGTAGCTCGTCTGTGTTGGGACATTCTTTTGAACAGTGGCTGCTTTGCTTCCCCGATGAATAACTGGTCGCAGTCCTCCTGGCACTTAACAGCAAGGGAGGACTGCGACCAAATTAATTAATTAGCAAATTAATTAGTGTTTGGGTGATGATTTCTTTGTTGTAGCAATGCCTTTTGACAATAAATCTTATACTGTTGGAAAGCCCGTTAAATTCCCTTTTAAAATGGTGCCACATTTGTAAGGAACATGCATTTCTGGGCTGAGCAGTAGAGCTGAGTGAGGGTTGAACACATGGAAAATTTGCCAAATCTTCTCTGCCAAGCAACTTTTTTTGCTGTTATTGACTCTTGTTTTGAGCTTCTGGTACCCCTGGTGCTGCCAATCAGGTGCTCAGCATTGTTACAAAGAAATAATCTACCAAAMACTTTTTATTTACTTTCTGTACTAAGTAATATGCCCAGTGATGTAGCTGTTTTATATCAATTTAATGTGAAATAAAATGTTTGTTAAACTTTTGTTTACCACAAAACTTGTTTCAAGGGATTCTCTGGAAAACATTTTACCAAAGAATTTAATAAACCTGTAAAACATTCAATGTTCTCTAAAGATTCCATAAAAAAGAACTTAAAAGCTTAAACTGGTTTCAGAGCCTTTAAAAAGTGTTAAAACCCACTTGTTGCTGCAGACAGCTACTGAGCAACACTAGTAGGCCAGTAAATTTCTGCATGTTTAATAGATAGGTAAACTTTGGGTGGTTACTTTTATTAACTGAGCTTGTTCATTAAAAATATAAAAAACATCAGGTATTGATGTTTTCTTGGAAGGAGCCATCATTATCACAGTGCTAAGTTAAAATGCAAACTGTAAACGACTTTGATTTTCTACACGGATATCCTGCAGCTTTCCTATGCCTGTTATTTTATTCGTACCAAAAAAAAAACAAAAACAAAAAAAACACTTAGTTCATGTTTGACATTGATGTGGTCATATAGTTGTGCTTATTTCACAGAAATGTCTTCACTTTTAAAACTGAGGCTGTGATAAACTGTTAGATTTGCTTAACTCGTGAGAGCGCTCTTTTCATATCATTAAACACGACTTCAATCAAAACTCTCTGTTTCTAGTAAAACCCTAAAGCTGAAGCATTTGTCTTTGGTGTAATCTCAAGAAACCTCTTGAAAATCTATTTTAAAAGAACATCTCTAAGTCATTTACATGCAGTACTGCCAATTAATTCAACTTATATCCATCTATAACCTWTAGTTGTTTTGGGGTTTATTCTTCCCTTACATACACATTAGTTTCTTACTTACACACTGAAATCGTAACATCATGATGAACAAATGAAACACAATTTTCAAGTGTGTTGGAAAACCAATTCTTTTTTTTTAATTATCATTTTTAGTATCAACACAATTATGTTTTACATRAAGTAAAAACAAAATGAAACCCCGTCTTTTGTTCCAGTCCTATCAAACCCACCCTCATCCCGACCATCGTTCAGTCTGGGAATRAAAGAGCCTGACCAAACACTTTTCTTTGAGGAGCCAGGGACGGTGGACACACGCTGTACCCTGGGTCAAACCAGCGTGACTCTAAGCAGTCTGTGATTTAAAAAAAAGGAAATATAAAAAAAAGGTAAATGAGCATCACTGATAGTTTTATCTGAGATTACCAGAAGCTTTATCAGGAGAACCAGCATGTCAACACAACGCTTTTGACAGCCTGCTTTAGGACCTTAGACACCTCAGGCATTGACAGGTGATGAACATGATATGGCTTTCTATCAACGCCCCCGAAATATTCAGGCACAATGCTTTCAGCTGAAGACATGTCGCTCTTAGTGTTCCTTAAATGGTCTACAAAGAAAAAAAGCCTGAGGTAAGTCGAAGCGGACCCCTCGTGAGTGTGTGCTTTTATTTATTTATTTATTCTTTTGGCTGATAAGACAGTCAGAGGGGGTTCAGGCAGCCAGCGGGGACATGGGGAACCACTACTGAAATAAAAGAACTGAACACACTCGTTACTACGCTCAGCCGTTTTATCAAACGAGAGCAGTACGGTGTGGAACAAAACCAGAGGGGTAAAAAAGACTTACCCCTGCTGCTAAATTCAGATCGAACAAACAGCAAAATAAAMAAATAACAGAAAAGTGGACTCTTTGTGTCTGATGTGGGTCAGAGAATTGGTGTTTTTTTTGTTTTGCTTTTAGAAGAGAAGCGCTCCCATACTGCCGACTTCACTTTGCTCCTTCACAAAGATCTCAAAGTACTGGTAAATGATGGTCACAGCCAAGAGGATTCCTGTACCCGATCCGATGGCACCCAGGAAGTCTGCCATGACCGACAGCCCTCCTATACAGAGCCCGCCGAAGGCAGCAGCTGTGGGGATGTACCTGTGGAGAAAACCGAGCCCGTTTACAGAAAACAGCTTCTTCTAAGCGGTTAAATAAACCCTGTAACTATAAACTCCATGTTGGCTTTGTACCTGTTCAGTTCATGCACCATGGAGGTCTCTCTGTGTCCTCTCATTACCATCTGCTGCTCCTTCAGCTGCTTCGCCACCTGAGGCGACAACATGACAAAAACATCTKGAATCCTGGACTCCGTTGAAGCCGAGCTGCGTACGGATAAACACTCACGTCTTTGGCTGACGAGCCTGAGACCTCAATCCAGGTCTTGGAGAAGAAGGCACAAGAGCCGAGCATGAAGACGATGTAGATGACAGCGTGGACCGGGTCGTCTAAGACGGAACCGAACGACTCCGGGGGAGAAAGGTAGTAGCAGAGACCGCCCACTGGGTAGGCTCGAGCCGGTCCTCCRCTCGATGTGTCCTGGACACACATACAGAGTATAATAAATACTGCACTACAGTAGGGCTGGGCAATACGGCCTAAAATCAATATCATGATATAATGACCAGTTCACCTCGATAACGATAAATGCACGATAACTCTTACCACCCACCACACACACAGGTACACGGTGTAGTATTATGACTATACTACACTAGACTGACTGATTTCTCTAAAATAATTTCTTTCAAAATTATATTATTTAGAGCTCATGTAATCGTTTATTAGTATGTATTCTTTATATTTGACCATTTATTGAATCACAGAGCAGTTTAGTCACAGCATGGTTCTAAATAAAAGCAAAGGATTGTGAAGAATGAAATTTGTAGATATTTATCCTGAATTTCCCCGCGTGGGACAATAAAGGCTGTTTCTATTCTATTCTTATGATAAATTACAAGAAGAACATTGCGTTTTTTTTATTTTTTTATTTTTTTGCGGGGGTGAGGATAACGCTAAGCGGAGACTCATATTTTCTATACTGGGGCAAAGTGTTCATCTGAGTTAATATTTTGGAAGAGCAGCGGTTCTCACAGAACAACTCAACAGCGATGTTGAAGAGAGGAGTTTGGTGACGCAAGCAAAGTTGGACACAGTATCTGTTAGATAACAACACTCTGAACACATAAACTTATAGTGGGTTAGATTTTAGATACCACCGTCTCAGGTAGCTCTGGAGAGAAGTGTGGAGGATGGGCTTTGTTCACTCAGGACAGGAGCTGCAGGCTGACCGGTGTTCATCCTGCAGACTGCTGCACCGACATCAGAAAGACCCGCCCTGCTCTGCTCTGATTGGATAAAGCTGTGGGGTTCATTTGATTTGTTGAAAGCAGCGTCTGTTTAAACCTGTATCAGAGTGGCCGGCTTTAACGAGACAACAGAAAACAAGCAGGTTCTCGTCGGTCATGAAATTAGCATATCAAGATATACCCCCGTATTTTTCGGACTAGAAGCTGCGACTTTTTTCCTGAACTTTGAACCATGCAGCTTATAGTCCGGTGCGGCTTATATGTGGATTTTTTTCTTCAGCCACCAGGGGGCTCTTTAGCCGCAAGCGCCATTTTGTTTTAGCTAGTAGCAGACACGACACGACGGATTAATCTTCAACAGACAGGACGAAATATTTTTCAAATTCAAACGCGCTCATCATGGAAAAGAATAGAAGAGCTTCCTATGATGCCGCTTTTAAGTTGAAGGCTATCGAACTTGCGCAATAGGAGGGAAATAGAGCCACTGCACGTCAGCTCGGCCTGAACGAATCAATGGTTCAGCGTTGGAGACGGCAGCGGCAGCGTGGAGCAGGGTGAGTGAGTCCACCATCACCAATGGGTTCTGAAAGGCTGGACTGCTACGTGAAGAGGACACCACAGCTTCAGAGCCAGCATTACCCCGGGAGGACAACAGATACCGCTGTGTGACGCAGCTTTTCTCAGCGTAACTCCGACACTGAAGAGGAGGACTTTGATGGTTTCTGTACACCGGAGGACGATGAATGAGACATTTTGTTGGATCAGAAAATGTTWAAGAAAACTACCAAAATAAGGCCAGTTAAATGAACCATATTCCTCCAAAATTTAATTCCTAAATGTTTGCTTTTTATGTTTGGATGTTGAATTCACTTTTTTGACGACAATTTTGGGTGTAAAGTTGTTTTTAATGTTGGGGGTGCGGCTTATACGTTAATGTTTGCAGTTTGGTTTTTTTTATATGGCGGGTGTAGTTTATAGTCCGAAAAATACGGTAATTTATTTTCCCGAGCAAGTTTTTCTTACCTATATTATCGTGAGTGTTATATGGCCCAGCCCTGCACTACAGCCTAACCACGTTACATTTATTTGGCAAAATACAGGATGCAGCCGAGACGGAGCGTCTCTCATCTACTTACAGACCAGGTTCCCAGGAGGTTGACCAGGAAGTTGCCGCTGAAGCGTGTTGACAACATTTGCGAAATGACGTACAGGTTGGAGACCAAGGCAGACTGCAGGATGATGGGTATGTTGGAGGTGTAGAACAGTTTGATGGGGTACGTGTTGTACTGACCACGGTAGCGAGCCGACTTGATGGGCAGGTCCACTCTGAAGCCCTGATGAGGTGACACGTGTTGAGTACAAAACGTCTTGTGTCTTTGTAACGCAACAGCTGGGAGATAACAGCGGCGTCTCACCTGGAAGTATATGACCACGGCGAACACAAAGATGGTGGCGATGAGGTTCATGAGGTTGGGCAGGTTTTGCCTGTAGAAAGCCTCTCTCAGGGCGCGCACCTTGTCTGTGCGGGTGGCCAGCAGATGGAAGAGAGCGATGATGGCTCCCTCGAACTCAGTACCTGGATAAACCGTGGGAATCGCTGCGTTAGTCGCAGAGAAACAGACGGGGGTGGGTCGTCCGTTTCATTTCTGAGACTGGATTCTTACCTCTGCCTGTGTTGACGGTGGTGGGACTGAAGGCTTTCCAGACAATCGTCTCGCAGATATTTGTCGCAATGAAGAGAGAGATCCCAGAACCCAGACCGTAGCCCTTCTGAAGCAGCTCGTCCAGAAGCAAGACTATCAGACCTGCCACAAACAGCTGGAAACACAAACAGGAAGTTTGTTTTAAGACACGTCAAGCAGACCATCTGCTGTGAAAATTATCTGCTCTCTTCCTTTATTTGTATATTTTAAGGCAAAAACGAATTCATTCTTTTATCATTTGTATGTTTAACATTACAGTAACAGATCGGGCTCACCTGAATGATGATGAGTAAGCAGATACCAGCACCCATCTCTGAAGGATCTCCATACATGCCAGTCATAACGTACACGATGGCCTGTCCGATGGTGATGATCATTCCAAACACTGTGAAAAAGTAGAGACAATATAAAAATAAAATAAAATAAAATAAAAACTGTCCTTTTATTTTCATCTTCAAAGTCTTGGAAGCAAAGAAACAAGTTCCAGAAACAGCAAACCTACATTTCTGAGCTCCGTTGAAGAGAGCTCTGTCCTTGGGAGTGTCTCCCACCTCGATGATCTTTGCACCAGCCAGCAGCTGCATGATGAGACCTGAGGTGACGATGGGTGAGATACCGAGCTCCATCAGAGTACCTGGGTGTCAAAGAGAAGGGCATCAACATTTTAACTGTCTTTTTCATTTCTATTTACAGAAATAGAGAATAAAAAGGAAGAAAATCAGCAAAAGGAGGCCAACAACTCTTGACCTTTGATTCCAAGACAAACTGAGTGAGACAACAAACCTAACACATGCACACACCTCTGTTAGAAGCCAAGATTACTCTCATCCAGTAGAAAGGATCTGCTGAATCTGACGACATGATGCCAAAGAGCGGGATCTAAACATGAACAAGAAGTGTAAAATACTCTGAAGGAGCACTGACAGGCTGACCGAGTGCCATYGACGGATACAAACCTGGCAGCACACCAGAAAGATGAATAGTGTGATGGCAGTCCATAGTACTTTTTCTCTGAATTGAATCTGCAGGGTAAGAAACAAGYGTTATTCATTTCAAGTCATGTTCGCAAAACTTAACATAAAACAGATGCGAAAAAGGTATGAACGTACCTTTCTTTCTGGTTTCTGAATCTCTGGCAGGACTGCACAGAAAGGCTTGATGACTTCCAAAAACTTAACTGTGAAAAGAGACAAAACATCATTTATTTTTTTTTTGTGGCAAATTTAAAGACAAACAGCTCTTATGGGAGTGCAGCTGCACCTCTCTGACCAGGTGAGCCCAGATGCTACGTCATCTCTAACAGCGGCTGCTTAAACAGCTGCCAAACAGCATGATAACTAACTCATTCAATACGAAAGTGACAGATATTAATGAGTTGTGCTCAGATTATGGTGTTTACTGTGCAGATCTCTCCTGAGCTCAATCTGAGGGTTGATCAGCTCTGAGGAAATCACTGAAACTGACTTTAGCAGCGCGTGATTTCGCAATCAAAATACAATTAAAGTGCTTCAAAACGTCCAGTTTTCAACCTTTCAAAGCAGAGGTAATAATCAAACAAAAAAGGCAATAATTTTAAAACAGATATTACACATTCATTCAAACATTAGCTAAGATGCTAGCTGTAGCATTCAATCTCAAAGCAGACGAAGACATGTCTAAAACACAAGCTGACGCGTGTGTGTTTTAAATTAAATTTAAGCTGTGACACAACCCCCCCTGAAATATTAATAAAAACACCATTCCTGCTTTTGTTTTGCTTTCACTATAAGCTAGCTCAACTTCTTGCCACCTAAGCTGAGCCACTAGCTTTCCTGCAAGCGCTGCTGAGTGTTCGTTATTCCTGCAGCCGAACAACCAAGCAGCCATGCTAGCACGGCACAGAGACAGAGAAGAAGCCTACGTACTCCCCATGGYGTCCTCGGCTCGACTCCTGCCGCGTAGCTGCTACCAGTTTCGAGTGTTCAGTGGAGTCAGTGTGGCTCCATCAGCCACTCGGAGAGGAAAGAGAGACCGAGCCGAAGAGACACGTCACCAGACCAGCCGCAGACACACGTCACTTCTCCGAAGGAGAAMACACACAAGCCACGTCCTCCTGCGCACAGCAGCCTGCCTCACACACCTGTCTGAAACTACGGTTTTTATTAAAGTGCTTAGCAAATAACTACATAGTTTTTTTTAAAATATACGATTAGGAACAGTTCTTATTATTAAGAAATAAAAACCTGTTGAAAACACAAAATTCTCCCTTCTGCTAGAGGGCGCTGTAGTCAGGAAGTCAGCAGTGACAGACAATAAATAGCCCCGCCCCCTCTTCCCCTTGTAGTACACAAATATAGTACACAAATGTTGTACACAAATGTAGTACACAAATGTGTCAAAATGAATGTCTTTTCCCATGTAGCCTTTTAAATGTTTATACAGGAGGATAGATAGATAGATAGATAGATAGATAGATAGATAGATAGATAGATAGATAGATAGATAGATAGATAGATAGATAGATAGATAGATAGAT